AAGAATTAATTCAAGGTGAATTTTATATCTATTGAGGAGGGGACTTGGCATGTAATATATCGTTATTATAGTATGGAAAGGGCTTAACTCACATCGTAGCTGAAATACAAAAAGCCGCAACTAACTTAAAATCCAAAATTAACTTTTTGATTGATTATGATGCATTTCATCGAATCACAAGTCCCCACATCGTTTTAGGCAATACAAAAATTTAGTTAGTCGTGGTTTTTTGCATTTCAGCGACAATGTGAAATAAGCCCTCTTAAAATAGTATTAGCGATATATATGTGAGAAATTTGCGTTCATTCGCCTCAAAAAATATATCAAAACACATTGAGCGCATGGAATGGAACAACAAAACAGATTTGATAGCTTATGGTACCGACAGCGGTGAGTAATTAATTGTGACTGCCTGCAACTAGGAAGCTCAACTAACTAATAAAAAAAAGCTAATTACAAGGTATTCATTACAGGCGAACCTTTCCAAGGAGTCACCCGAGAACTAAGCAAATCTGACACCTTTATCGTCCGTGATTCCATAGTTAAAATTATTATAAAAAACGGGGTACCTTTTTAACAAAATAACTAGATTTTAAACTATTTCTGCTGGCAGCCACGACTTTCAAAATAGAGTTTTCTTCGAAATTTTCATTCCTAGAAAATAACAATTTATTTTCCATATTCACTTATTAACAACCTCGCTATAAGCGCACATTTTTCAAACCATTAAAAGAAGACAGGATTAAAAATGAATCACAAAAACTAAAATCGAAAAACGCTGGCGGAACAGGATCTCCAAATTCTGAAACAACCAAAAGAATTGGTGCTCCAAATTGGAGCATAACAGTGTTTAAACAACGATCTTGCCATGATGCTAGATTGTGAAGATGAAAGCCAGGAGGATACATCCGACATTTGCAGCCCCGATGCAATTCCCAAAAAGGAATTGTTGCACCGCAATAAAAAAAGAAATATAACTCAAAGCCCTCTCAACTGGTGCAGCGTCAATCGAAAAGAATTTACAGTTTTGTCAAGTTCAAGTTTT